CTGACTGTAATTTTATATAGAAACATAACCACTAATGAACTGACCCTAATCTAGCAAGCCATCTTACTAAAAACCCCATGCTAATTCTAAGTATGCACAAATATAGAAATTCCAGGGCAAAAATCAAATAGGAAAATTGAACCATTATAATATTGAGATCCTCCTGTGCTATATTCTCCAAAGATACTTGTTTAATCGCAAAGTGAAACAGCGAAGCAGATGGGCAAAGCAGCGAAGCAACAGATTTAAAGAAATGGATTTGCGAGATCGACGAAGCAACCAAAGAAGAACTGAGATCGGCAAAAATTAATTTAAAGGAAATAAAGGAAAACCAGAAAGAAAAGAAGATGAAAAACGCAAATGGGTTTGGGTAAACGGCGAGATTGAAAAATGGGTGAAGGGGAAAAAATGAAAAAGGATTAAAGGGCGCGGGACTTAAAAATTGTAAACGCCGCAAACGCAACTAAAGTACGAGTCTATAGCGGTGTTTGTATATAAACGCCACTAAAGTACAAGTGTATAGTGGCGTTTGTATAAAACGCCACTAAAGTACAAGTCTATAGCGGCGTTTGTATAAAAACGCCACTAAAATACGAGTCTTTAGCGGCGTTTGCAAACATAAACACTGCTAAACTACAAGTGTATAGCGGCATTTGTATAAAAATACCACTAAAGTATGAGTCTTTAGCGGTGTTTGTATAAAAATGCCACTAAAGTACTACTCTGTTGTAGCGTTTGTTGAAAAAACGTCACTATGGATGAACCTATTGCGGCATTTGTATAAAATTGCCGCTAAAGTATTACTCTATCGCAACGTTTTTTTTACCATTTTTGTGGCGTTTGGTATGTAAACGCCGCTAAATGTTTAAAATTAGTGGTGTTTACTCCCAAAACGCTCCTAAAAACGCCATTGTAGAACAATTTTACTATAATGTGGTAATTTTATTAGTGTAATAAATGAGTTCTTTTCAATGATAAAAAATTAAATTGTGGTCATGTCGTCGTATTGCTGAGAATCATACTATCTTAGCCCTAACCTCAAAACGAGGCAAACAATCAGACATGAGAACCAGAGAAAATGAGTGGCAAATCTTGTTGTTTAATGTCATATTCTAAATTATGATATCAAGATCTTAATTGTTAGCATTTCAATTTAAAATTTTAAAAGTGCAAGTTATAATGTTAGAAATATTACTATTGTAAAGCAGATCATTAGCACTAATTAAGTAATTAAATAAAAATAAATGTACCGTAAAAGAATTATTGTCTTAAAAACAAATCTGCCATGGCTGATATGGATAACCATTGAATTAGACATCATATACAAAGAGAATTAAGAGTATCTAATCTGAAAAATAGAATCAATGTCTAATTTGCCTGATTTTAGAACTACGAGGGACCAAACCAAAAATTGAACCCAAAAAACTTTGGGGTCAAGCATCCTCCCACTACCAGCTATTCCGTCCCGAGTTGAGTTTGAGTCGAGTGGGAACAAGAAGAAAAGTGTGAGCCATGATCCTTGCTACTGTGCTTTCTTTCCTTAAATTTAATTTTTATTTTAGTACTTTGGTAATTTGCGTTGATTTCATCTCATTTTAGCTGACTTTTTTATTTGATTTAGAGATATCCTACGTTGTTATAGCGTATTTTCTAAGATTTTTTAAATCTATAATATATTTCATCGGTTAAGAAAATAATTGCGAAAGAACGATTTCAGTGACTAATTTGCAATTTAATAATTAAAAACCAGAACTAGCTGAGAAAGTAGAGCCGTGAATGCTTGGAGTTTAACTGTTCAAGGGTTGGCAATTTGACTTTCACTGTATTTTTTACAAAGAAAGCTGGCTTACACTGCTACATTTGAAAGAAAGGTGAACAAATTCGAAATTTCTTGGGATAAATATGGTAAGCATTGACTTAGCTGGACAGCCAAAAGATAATATTTTTACACACACGGAATTTGAAGGCAAGTATTGAGCCTCCATGGATTCCAAGTTTTGTCTTCAAATGTTCATGTTGATCTCTGGCCTCTTGCTTTCTCAAAATGAAGCTGTTCCAGCGTCTTATTCTGGAACAATCCGTCCGGCCGTGACTTCGCATACAAGTTAAAGGAGGTGTCGAAGCGAGTGACCAGATTATCACCACCGCCGTCACCTAGGCTTCGCCTTCCTCCGCAGCAGTTAGATTCGCCGCCACCTCCAATTTACATCTGAGCTTATCAACCCAGCATAATCAGCTAGCCCAAACCCTAGCACCCAGGCATGTTCGATTGCCGGTCAGAGAGTCTCGTATGGGAAGTTTGATGCGCCGTAGTGTGTTGCAGTCCACAATAGAAGATACGTAAAACTCAACTTTGGTTTTTGAGCTTACCAGCATGTGCTCCAATAAACTTGTAGATTGTGATACTATTTACTTTTCCTGTGCTCCTCTGCTTTCGTCTTTGTTTAGATTTCTCTGTTGCTCCTTTTGTTAATACAATTAAATTTAAAAATCGGCGATATTTAAGGTGTAAAGGATTCCATCGTTGCCATTAATAACCGGTGAGTTTCACAAATATCATATACTCATTCGACTCTCATAATTTAACTGATTAGAAATAGGTTAATCGCTTTTAATATTAAGCATCCGACCTATAATTATTTAACAACGGATTGAAAAAACACCAACTCCACTTTAATTGTATGCTTTTTATTAATTTATTTTACATTTTTTTAGAATGTTAGCTGCAAATCACCAACTCCACTACTAGTAAACAAAATATATAGGCCTAGGCTGCTTTGGATCCACCGCACGAACTTGACTTTGTTGTCTAACTAAAGACGATTATATTTTAAATATATCTTTTAGTTGAGCTTTGAGCTACCATGAATTTCGACTCTAGCTGGCTGATAATATAAAGACAGAATGCACCAGAGTCTATTTCACATTGTCTCTCAAGAATACCCATGGATGTCAAATCTCGGTTTCTCATATTTATATTGATCAGTGGCCTCTTACTTTGGCAAAATGAAGCGTCTTATTCCAAAACAAACGCGTCAGGCCGCCATTTTCCGTACAAGCTAAGGTCCGTGTCGAAGCGGGTGGCTAAATTATCACCACCGCCATCGCCTAAGCGGCAGACTCCATCGTATCAAAATTCACCGCCACCACCGATAGACATCTGAGCTTATTAACCCAACTTATTCAGCTCAAAGCCAAGCACACCACTGGTTCGTATACATAAATTTTATGTTACAATAATCTTTCAAGATTGTGACTCTGTTTCGGCTCTTATATTGCCTTTCTCGATTTTCTTTTGCTCCTCTGATATCATCTTTGTATCCAGTTTTTGGCATCCATACATGTGAATGTCTACAAGTATATCTTCCAAGTACACGTGTCCGAAAGTCGGGTTTAATGGTTTGTAGGTGTAGTTCCAAATTGACATCTCGGCTTGGAGTAAGTTCCACTTAATATTAATGATAATAAATATTAATTTAGTGATCTGTCTTTGTCTTAAGATGGTTGGCCTAAAATTGGGCCTCCAGCGCCAAGTCATATTCAACTCAGTGGATAATGATCCTCAATTAAATTGTACTAGTGGATAGGTTGATTATAAATACATATAGCTTCGTATTAATATTTGATTAGCCAATAATTAACAATGGGATGCTGCTTTATCTAGTGCTAAACTAATGGTTGATTAAAGGTTTTAAACCACCTCTTTCTATAATTAATTAGTGTACTGTTCCCATTAATGGTTTGACTTCAATTTTATTATATAGGGCTTTTTTTTTTCAAATTCAGTTGAATGATGCAAGTATGGTTTCATTCAAATCCGAAACTTAGGGACTATTTGTTTGCCTCTTAATGGAATAATTCAGCGCTGAATGCTGAACCGTTCAGCATTCAACGCGTTTGTTTTGCACCTTTGAATGATTTAGTGTTGACTGATTCAGCAAAACAGTGCTGAATGATTCAACATAGAAGTACAATCTGAATGATTCAGAGCCATTATCAAATAACATGTCACATTCATAGCTAATTCATATAAAGCCTCTGAATCATTCAGCGCTTAATCATTTTTGAAGTAAACAAACAACCCCTTAATTCAATTAGTTTGTTGATCAATAAGTTTAAACTTTAAATGATGCTTTCTTTATAATTCTTCTCAGTATTTATAGTGACATTACTATATCCATATTTTTTTTTACTTTATCAGATGAATATATTGTCATATTCTTAATAACCTAAAGAAGAAAAATCCTTTTGCAATATATATAACACCATATGGACAAAATTATCAGGAAATGTTTGTTAATTTTTGTAATAAAGAAAATAAAATGAGAATGAAACTCTTGAGTTTTTAAATAATTTCATTAACGGAGTTTAAAAAATTTGTCACTCAAAATAAAATTTTAATTAAGGGTCTTTCTAGCTTATTTTTAGATTTAAAAATTATATTATTAATCTATTAAAGTAATTATTTATAATAATAATCTATTTTTAATAATTAATTAGAAAAATCTAATGAGTTACAAAAAAATACATCCACTTTATTTATATAGATAGATAAAGTTCCATTTTAATGGAACAAAAAGAAAACCAATCAAATAAAAACAGTAGTGTCAACTTGGCCAAGTTGACATATAAAATTCTTTGTCCCACAAACTTTAATCCCTTTTTCAATCATATCCTAACATTTAAAAGAAGGATAATTATTTAAGAGGAAAAAGAATAGAACAAATTCCTCAATATCTAAACGGCAAGAAGAAGAAATAATATTTCTTTAACAAAAAAAATATCTCAACATCTAAATCAATATAATTTCAAGGGATTATCTCATTAATCCTCATCATTATAAAAATATATTGCAAAGTTTTGTAGCAATCTTCTTACTCTCACGAATAATAAAATACATTAATTATACAATTTTTGTTATTAATAATTAAATTATCATTTGTGCAATCTCGGCATACATTTTTGTGCAACAATCTCTTTGTTCTTCTTATAATGAAGTTTCATCGGTACATATTATTAATGAAAAATGATAGAAACATTTTTTTTTCAAAAAAAAAATTACTAAAAAGAGTAGAGGTATCAGATAAGCTAAGAAGTTGTTCCAAGTAATCGGCTCCTAAATCCTCAAAAACCACCATGTTTTCTCTCTTCACCTTCTTCTTCACTACCCCTCCCTTGTTCTTCAAGGAGTGTCTTTTCTTCATTGCCAAAACAGGCGAACACCCTTCTTCGAATCCATAGTTCATTTCTTCAAGCGACCTATACACTTTGTCCATTGGGAAATTAAGTATAGCCATGGAACCTCGCATTGTCAATGCAGCTCGATCGTATGCTAAAGCAGCTGCCTCGGCAGTATCAAAGGTTCCGAGCCAAACCCTCACTCCTTTCCTCGTCGAGTCCCTTATCTCCGCTGCGTATTTCCCCCATGGCCTCTTCCTGACTCCTCTGTATGAGATTTTGACTTCGTCGTTTGCTTTTAAGCTCACTTCATCGTCTCTAGGGTTTGATAAGAAGGACCTCTCTGGGGCTGCTTGTTTTAGAACTCCTAGGAGAAGCATCTCCTGAGAGTCGTTTTCATTGAAAGGAAGGGCTTGATTGAATGTTTCTTGAGAAACAAGGGAAGAAGATGATTGAGGAGAGAACTGAGAATATGGGTATTGGAAATCTGAAGAATCCATTGATCAGTTTGAATTTCTTTGAATGTTTGTGTGTTGTTTTGAATTGAGTTGAGTTCATAGGAGAAACATATTAAAATATATATGTGGGGAAACGAGGGTGATGACAAGGCTACGAAGCGGTGAAATTAGAAGAATGCAAAATGCAAGGGAAGGGGAGATATATGGTATATATTTTTAATATAAGGTTAAGAAAAATTGTAATTTAAAATATTATAAATAATATAATATTTTAGGTTACATAATTTAAAATGTTAATTTTTTTAATATTTTTTATTTAACTAAAAATATTATTATAATTATAATAATTTTGATTGCAACTTAAAAAAATAAAATAAAATTAATATTTTAAATTATACATACTTAAAATATTAATTTTATTTATAACATTTTTTACCTTATATAAAACTACTGTACAGTAGGTGGGTTTTTAAAAACAACATTATTGGAGCAGATGGGACAAGGGAATGGCGGCCGGGTAAAAATGAAATAAAGGTGACGTCAGATTGATGATACCATCAATAGGTAAGGGGCTTTTGCCCACTTGGCATTTGGAGCCAAGGTCGAGGGAAGATACAGATGATGAATCTGAATGCCGTACAACATGTCAATAATGTCAAAACATGTTGAAAAGCTGACAACTTTTGTTACTTTTGTATCTTTTGGAATTAATGCAATTTATTCGCCCAAATACCTGGTTAATCGTAATAGGATCCAGATCCAGTAGATAAACATTGGGTAAACTATACAAGTGACCAACTAACTATAGTTCTTTTTCATTTTGACCATCATTTTTATTATATATATTGCTCAAATTAAATTACGTTTTTTTTTAAATATTTTATATTTGATGACGAGTTTTAAAAATAAATATGGAATTTATTTTTATAGAATTTCTATTGAATTTGAAATTAAAAACTTTAAAATTAGTCCATCATATAGTTTTTTATTTTTATTAAACCAAGATACAACAAAATTCTTTTAGAAGATATACACAGATATTAGAAGATATTATTTCACACTGAACTTTTGTTTGATTAAGGCAACTTTATCTTGTGAAATTTACTAGTTCGGTAAGAAAGGATTTTATAAATTTCTTGTTCGAAAATGAATTATGTGATAAATTATTTTATAGGATAAATATATAAAAATAATAATTTAATTCCCTTTATATAAAAAATGTTTTAAAACTATACCAAGTGGATTGCTTTGTCTAATGGCTTAGGTCTGCTCAAGGGAACCAAAGGTCTGTAGTTTGATCCCCTTCAACTGCAATTTATAATGCTTTGCCTTAAAAAAGTAGTGACAATTAAAATTAATAAAATATCTTCTAATATAGCTGTGACACGTGACACCTTCTAATTAGAGATTAAATTTTATTAAATTAAATTAAATTAAAAATTATGACCAAATTAACAAAAGATATAAATATTGAGGATCAAATGTGTAATTACACCAATTTTATTAACTATTTGTGTCTATATAAAAATATTTTATCATTTAATTTTTTATAATAAGCTTATAAAATTTAAATTGAGTCAAATATATTTATTTACATTTAAATGTAATTATTTATAATATTATGATATTAATTGATTTTAATTTAAACATTTTTTCTAATTATATATCATGTACATGTGTGTGTTTATATATATATATATATATTATATTTTTCACATGTGTAACTCGAATATTATTGTTTTAAAGAATATATCTTGAGAATAGAATATTGGTGAAGTGTAAAGGAGCTTGTTAAAAGAAAAAGAAAATTGTAAATAGTTATAATTAAATGATTAAATTGAACAAAATATAAGATTGAGAGGCTAAATCGAAAAAGAAAATTAAAGTTAAAATCTAATCAACAACAAACATAAAATAAGGAAAAACAAAACAAATCATAAAAGAATCAATTAATTTTATTAATTAATATAAAATATCCATAATAAGGTCACCATACAAGACTAAATTCGACTAGTCAACACCGTTACAAAAACAAAAGGAATCCAAAAACTCCAACCGAAAACCAAACTATCACTTAAAAGCGGACCCTGCTCTCCCAACCAAACTACATGCCGTCCTATGGACAAGTGGAAGAACCTAAAGGATAAAATAATCAAATTATTTAAGTATAGACTATTTGAATTTAAAACCAAAATTTTATTTTAATTTAAAAATTGAATAAAAATTTTGAATTGATTTAAATAATTCGATTCAAATGATTCAAAACTAACATTATAACTTTTTAAAATCAGATAAAATTTTAATCAATATAAAGCTGCATACCTGCACAAATTTAGGCATTTTCAAATTACTAAGCTAATTTTTGTGGGAGGAAAGAAAAGTAATATTTTGCTCCACTGTATAGCATGATTGGTCTGATTCAAACTGTCCTACATAACTAAAGCAAAAGTGGTCCTTGCAATTAACACATAATATTGCTTGGTTTTGGCAATATCTGAGGACATAGATTATCCATAGTTTTAGGGTAAAGTATGTAAATAGTTCCTAAGCTTTTAGGGTGTTTGCAATTTGGTCATTCAACTTTTAAAACTTACAATACAATCATCAATCTTTTAGTTTGTTTTCATTTTGATCCCTTCCGTTACCTCATGTTGGTTTTTGCCGATGTGACACTTAACCCCCTTCTTCTTAATCTTCATCTTCTTTTAATAATGATTGTTTATATGCAGTGCACACATCGGATACAAATGAATAACATAGCTGCAAAATTATAAGCTTGTTAGGTTTCCTTCTGGAAGTGCCCTACGTTGTTGGTGTTATCTACCAGGTGTAGACACTCATTTTCGCTCGGAGTTATTTTGTTTTTTTATATATATTTTATTTTATATATGTATATTTATATAGTAATATAGTATATAATTTTCGGAAAATGGTTTTCAAAAAACTATATATTATATATATTTTAAAAACGTTTTTAAAATATATATAATATATAGTTTTGAAAACATTTTGAAAACATTTATATATTATATAGTTTTTAAAAAACTTTTTGAAAGTATATATAATATATAGTTTTGAAAACCTTTTGAAAATATTCATATATTATATAGTTTTTAAAAAATCATTTTGAAAATATATATAATATATAATTTTTAAAAACATTTTGAAAAATATATATTTTATATAATTTTTTAAAAATGTTTTTGAAAATACGTATAATATATGGTTTTTAAAAAACATTTTGAAAATTTATATATTATATGTTTTTAGAAATATTTTTATATATATAGTAATATTACTGTTATTTTTTTATTTTTTTATTAACTTATTTTTATTTTTTATTAAGGTCTATTTTGAATCCAACAAGTATGTTCGGGTCCAGCATAGGCTAATGGGCCTGAACCAGCCCAAGTGCACTAGGGTTTCCACAGGCAAGCATTGCGCCGCGTGAGGGACAACAACACAACCAACAGCCAGGCGAGAAATCCGGTCACGAAACAACCGTGGCAGTCAGCCCCGACTAAATCGGGACTGACCCATCCCGTTTTAGCCGATCAACCACGAACGGTCACACGAACGAATATCTCAGAACAACCCCGTTATCATCGGAGCAGGCCACCGGTGGGGTGGGTATAAATACCCACCATTATCGAACCAAGGGAGAAAGGAACACACGAACAGAACCCACAACGGGAACAAACGACCAGAACATCTACACAAGAAACAACCACAAAAGCCTCAACAAGGCACAACCACACATCAAACAGTCGGTCGAAACTGAGAACCCAAACCACACAAACAAACCAAAACCGAAAGCCCACATAAACATAGAAACCAACAAAAGAAAAATAAAACCCAAAATACCACAAGAAAATACCAAAATCCCCATCCTAGAAGACGAGAAGACGCCGGAAAAGGGTAAACATCGAGACATTTTAGCCTAGATCTACACGATTTGGGCGTGGTTATGAGCAATCGGGGGTTGGATTCGGGTTAAGGGTGCGGAGGTGATCATTTTGGTGGGTTCTTATTTTTTTTCTGGCCACTATCACCGACAGCCGGAGCGGTGGCCAGTGCGATAGAGGAGCCACTGGATTTTGGCCGGGCTTTGATCGGCCATGGGGGGAAGGGAGAGAGCTTGGGAGCTTTTCTCGTTTAGGGGAGAAGAAGTTTGGAACATAATGTGAAAAATGAACTGAAAATTACTTTTTGGGGTATTTATATACCAAGAACCATTGTGTAAAAAGGGAAGTCTTTAATTCTTTCTGTCGTCCCTAGTATTTTGAATCGCTTTACAATTTGGTCACCAGTTGTAATTATGCCTCCAAATTTCCAATTTAATCGATTTAATCCTTGTTTATTTTTTATATTTTGCGAATTAACCTCCCTAATTTTGTCTTTTTCTCTTACAATATATTTTTAGCATTAATTTCCCTCCATCAACTTTGATTTATTTTAATTTGGTCCCTTAAATTGTTAATTATTTGTTTTTCCTTTCTTCTTTTTATTTTATCATTATTCATTTTTTAGTATGTTCTTTTATTTGTTTTATTTCCTTTTTTATTTTTCACTTCTTGATATTTTTTTATTTTACTAATTTTAAAATTTAACATTTTATTTTTATTCTTAATTTATTTAATATTTTTCTTCCTTTGATTCATTCTCATTTTTATTTTTACTTTATAGACTTATTTATTTATTTATTTATTTATTTATTTCTAACATTTTTGACTTATTTTTAGAATAAATTCCAGTCGATCAAAGGTAAGCAATTTGAACCAAATTTCTAAATTTCAATTTAAATTTTTAATTTTCGCATTTAAAGACAACCGACAAATTAATCGATACCGAAAGGGCGGTTCAAGGGTGTTAATCATTCCTTGACCGTAACCGACTCCCGAACCCGACACATTTCTGGTAAAACGCGGATCAGGTAAGATGGTGTCCGATCCACCTAAATATTTTAAAGTGATCAGTGGCGACTCTAACCCATTATTCCAAGTCGAAGCCCGATTTGGGCCCAACCGAAAGACGGCTGTGACATCTTGGCGACTCTGCTGGGGATAGGTAAGTGAGTCAGGCCATAATTAATTTTCGGTTGTCTTTTTATCCGAAAATAATAAATTTTAATTTATTTATTCGATTCCAATTATTTACCTTT